AGTGAACACTGAAATATGTAACGCCGGCCAGATATGAGCAAAAGACTGTTGCAAATATGTTGAATATCTGCAACCACTGTCGCAGCACGCAGAGAAGTTCTCAAAGTAAATATGAGCAACAAACTGAAAATCTTATCTCAGTGAAGAGGTGAGATTGTTTGGTATGATTAGACACTGTGCGTTTACGTGGACATGGGTATGTTCAGGTTATGATCAGGGTTTTGAAGGATTCCACTTTTGTGTTGCATATAAAAATGAAATCCTGATTTCAGAAACCTGGACAAGCTCTTTTCCTGGTTCTTTTCCAAGGTGGTTAAGTATTAAGTTGTTTAATAGTTATTAACATTAGCTCGCATAGACACCAAACAGCCATAGCATTATGAAGGTGAAGTGAATAAAACTGACTCTCTTATTACAATGGCACCTGTCAGTGTATAGGGTATATTAGGCAGCAAGTGAAATTCAGTCCTCGAAGATTATCAGAATCAACTTTATTAGCCAGGCGTGTTGGACACGAGGAATTTGACTCTGGTACAGCGGCTCTCAATGTGTTTGTACATATTCTTTGGTAAGGCAATAACAAAGGGCAAATAAGCAGTATGCCAATATAAGGCTGTATAATATAACAATGCAAACAATGTAAGCAAACAAGAAATGTGCATTTGGAAACGAGGTAAAAATAAGAATGAAAATAGAGTACTTAAAAATAGAGACCTGTACATATATATACAGTGTTATTGACCGGTGGTACTATCGTGGGTTAGGTGTTGATCACAGTGACGGCCCAGGGGAAGAAACTGTCCTTGTGCGTGGTTGTCTTGGCGTATAATGACCAATAACATCATCCAGAGGGGAGGAGTTCTAACAGATTGTGTCCCCAGTGTGAGGGGTCCACAGAGATCTGCTCTGCCCTACTTTTGACCTATGAGGTGTACAGGTCCTCCATGGAGGGCAGGCTCACACCAATGACCTTTTCTGTAGTCCTCACTGTCCCGCTGAAGTCTGTACTTGTCCTGTTTGGTTGCTGAGCCAAACCAGACAGTGATGGAGGTGCAGAGAACAGACTTGATGATTCCTCTGTAAAACTGTATCAGTAGCTCCTGGGGCAGGTCGAACTTCCTGAGCTGGCGCATGAAGTACATCCTCTGCTGTGCCTTCTTGATGATGGTCCTGATGTTGGACGTCCACTTCAGATCCTGGGAGATAGTGGAGCCCAGGAACTTGTAGGACTTTACTGTTGATACAGTGCTGCCAAGTATGGTAAGTAGGGGCAAAGTGGGAGGGCTCTTCCTGAAGTCCACTGTCATCTCCACTGTTTTGAGCGTGTTCAGCTCCAGGTTGTTGCGGCTACACCACAGGACCAGCTGCTCAACCTCCCGTCTGTAGGCTGACTCGTCGCTGTCTCGGATGAGACCAATGCCCGTTGTATCATCAGCAAACTTTAGGAGCTT